ATGTTTTAGGTGTGCACGCTAGACTATACCTAATAGCACTCAAACCCAAGGTTTATAACTTTTTATACCGTGTAATGGCTATGCTCACGTGACATTGGCAAACGTGGAAACACAATAGCCATAGAGCAGAAGAAGAAGAAGAAGAATTATAGTAAAAATATTAATTCATTTAATCTTTTAACAGATACTACATAACTTCCAAATAATAGAGTGTGCCAATAAAACTTAAATTAGGGTTGGAAGGATCTCTACTTAATACTTTATCAAAATTACCTTTATGTTTGTCTTGGCTTGCATGTCACGCTCATATTCCCTTACATCCTCGATAGTCATGTTGTACCAGTCATCCATCCAAGCAAAGGCTTGACGATGTCCGAGGAGCAAGATTTCTCGGATCGCCTATAAAAACAATTATTATGTTCATATGACATCATGATTTCAAAAGAATATATTTGTGAAGTTTAATTGGTGTTAAAGAATCCTAGCAATAAATTAAAAAATAAATAAAAATCAAAACTAACCCCCTGAACGTATTCTTCTACTTTAGTCTGCAGGCCCCACACTTCAAACTTCACGCTGACAGCCTTGTAGCAGCACATGATGGGCTGGTGTGTGTCCCTCCAACCTTCAACCAAGGGGCCACGAGAAGTCTTCTCTGACTTGAAGAACTTTGGATCTTCCGCCTCTTTATAGTGGTGAGGCTTGATTTCATCATAGGCAATGTCCAGGAAATCCACCTCCCTTTGTGCCAGTTCTTCATCAGTTAAGCCAAGACACTGTAATACGTTATTATTCTTGTAAGTAATGAATATTTTGTAAGATATTTTACCCAAAAAACCTCTTATTTATTTATAATAATAATAGACTTACATTATCAGTAGTCCCGTTGTTATCTTCATATCTTGTTTGTATTGATATCGCAAATTTGGGAATGAAGGAGCACTGTAAAATATTTAAAAGTTTTAGCTTTTGTATTTCCTGATCAGATTCATGCTAATATTAATAAAATTAAATCTCTACTCACCGTATATTCTAGTAATGAAGGTTACATGAAAAGAGAAATATTAAATTATTTTAACAAAAAGATAGCCAAAGGTTTTTTAATACCCAAATCATTTGAATAATTGATATTTACCTGTGATGGTGTATGGATAGTAGTTCCATGCTTTCTCAGTCACATAAAATATTTCGGGAATCAGTGATTGGACCCAATAGGGTAGATGGCTGAAACAATGAGTAAATATTAGGTTTATGATGACTGTAAAATACAATTCATACTGATGACTTAAACAATTACAAACCTGGATAGATGAATTCTTTTCTCAGTGTATTGGCCCTGCCCATTGATCTCGTCGGTTACTTGTTCATTGGCGACCACTTCCACACCTTCGCCATTACTAGATTGCTCGAAACTATGCCGAGCTATCATGTAGAGTTGACCAATACGATACTGGAGATAGACAAAAGAAAACGAACATTTTCTTTATAGAAAATCATAAATAAACTTACTCTAAAACAATGGCAATTATCAATTAGGTTAGGGAGAATAACTGAATAGGATAATTATTTGATTTAATAGGTTTTCCTAATTATTTATTGTGGACAATGTAGCGTTTGGAGAAAAGATTAATTTATTACCTCCTCCACTGTCATCGGCATACAAATCCTATATTCTTTGGTAAACACCATTTTAGGGCACACAAAGTTATAGTAATTTAATTTAATTATAATCAGAAAATATTACAAAGAAACCAACTCAATCACGCACCACCAGACCAGCAACAATTTTACTACTAATGTCAATGTCAAAATTGTCAAAGTAGGAAAAAGCAATCAAATCACAAATGTCAAATGTCCTTGTTCCGTATCGGACTAGTATCGGACCTTGCCTTGTACAAAATTATAGGCCTTTGAAGATCAAAAAAATATGAGCAGTAGATTTTTTTTTTGACCAAATATTTAAAAGTCTCCAGCGCGTGTTTTGCCTTACACGATTTATAACATATTTTGTTGAAAGTTGTCATGTTTTTGTTGATTGCGCTGGAGAGACCCGGCTTAACACACGCAAAGGACTTTTAGGATATCTGCAGACAAGTCCTCTCTCTCCTCTCGCGGATTTATATCTTTCTTGCATTTATATGTATAAAAAATCTAGTTCGAAAGAATGCGGAGTCTTCCTTTTTCTAGTAATAATGTTAACCCTTGAGGAGAGAAGAGAGGGAACAAAGAATGTAGAAAGAAAACTAAGAACAATAGAGCCCATTATTTATTTCAGTATAATTTTAGAATGAAGTAGTTTAATACACAATCTGGTACTAATAAACCTCAAAGTTAAAAAAAGTAAATAATGTTAATTAAACTAATTAATTAACTTATTTTAATAATATTATTATAAACAATTCACTAAGAACTTGGTAATTTTAAATCTAATTTAACATACATAAATAGAAGCTAAATAGTCATAATCATAAGTTCTCTTTAAAAATAGATCAACTAAAGATAATCCAGTAATATTATGGAGACCAGTGTTAATAGGTAATGCTGTCAGATTTACGTAAACAGATTTACCAGGTTCCAGGGGACCCAATTTCCTATTGGAAACTCCACACCACAACATACTGGAGTCTGGGAGAGATCTGAGTTTCAAAATTAAATTCAAAGTTCTTTCACTGGCATTAACTATTTTGCATTTGAAGTCAAATGGCTCATCCACTGTAGCTTTACTTGGTAGCAACTCATAGGTTAATCTCACATCTCCGTACTCAGTGGTCATTCTTTGCAACTGACTGGTTTGCAGTCTGCCCTTCTCTCCTAAATTCGATCTCCATACAATATCAAACTTTCCAATGTTCTTGGCAGCTGTTAACAGCTTAATTTCCTTTGCTATATTTTCTTTCGGGGTTAAGCAATACAGATATTGGCAACTCTCTTGAGGTTGAAGTAGTGTGATATCACCAAAAACTGATAATCCTTCATTCTCACTGACAATCTCATTCAGGGACTTCACAGAGAATTGTTGGGAACTTTCCAAAGAAACTTGTTCCAGTGTGATTGGGCCAGAAGTAATATTTTGTACTTGAGCTTCCAAATACACATCATCCGACTCAGCATTGTAAAATTTAGTTTTCACATCAAGTGGTTTCATGACTTCAAACTTGAAGAACTTTCTAAAGGAGGCTAATGTATTGTAGTTAGACATGTAGGTGACTTCACAGACCAAAATATGAGTACCCAGATCCTTAACTTCATGATGTATCACATCACTCAGTGTTTCATCAACATCTAGCATTGTAGGTGAGTGACTTTGTTGGGTAGATAATGGAATTCGCTGTGAATTAGTCTGGAGATCTGCTTTAATTGAAACACTCTGTACAGGCTGATTAGTTTCATTATGAACACAAACATAGCAAGAAAACGTTTCGCCCAAATAGATGTTACCAAAACTTTGAGGAAGTAAGAGAAATTGACCAGCAGCAAGTGTTTCCATCTGAGTGACTGATGTAGCATCTTCTTTTAAGTAATTATTCAGGATATTACCCGGTAAATCTTTAGAATCGCATGTAACAATTTTTGGGCTTATTAATGCTGGTTTTGTCAGTCGCATCACTTTCAACGCCACCAAGTGTTCAACCACTTCTTTAGGATCCATATTTGTCACGAAATGTATTTAGAGTAATATTTTCAATGGATAAAGATAAAAGGATTTCAATGAAAATTCTGAGTGAAAAATCTGAGAAAATTGTGTTCACAACACAGCTGGCTGGCTGACTGACTGACATTGACATTGACATAAATGGTTATTTAAATTGCCCACGAAGTTTTTGAAAATTATACAATAAGTTGTGATTTTTCGATATCACGGATTGGCCTATTCTATCAAAGAAGACACGTAATTGGTGGATAGATTTTAGTTAATAAAAAAACTGCAGGCAATAAAAGCATCACTTTGACAAATGTCATTGTCAGTGTAACAATTTTTTTTTTTTTAAGTTATGTTTCTTTTTCGTTCCCATTTTTGTTACAGTCGTTGCTATGACATGAGCTATCAAACAATTTCAAGGTGTTTTATGGTATGCTTTGTATTTTTTAAGCATTTTACCTGTAAAAGAATATGCTTTAATCATTAGAAATGTCATTAATGACATGTCATGATAATCCAAAGCAATGTCAAATAATTGAATTTAAACCTTTTAATACAGTTTAATTGGCCGAAATAGATACGTACACCAACTTCTAGAAGTTTAATAAGAACTACACCGAAGCTGCACCATGAAAAGCATTGTTTGCTTGGTATAAAGACTAACCACGTATACCATTCACGTGAAATACTGATGTGGCCCAATGATAGTCGTTTACACTAAGGTCTATCAAATTTAGTTACTTTTTACGATAAACAAATGGTATAGTGTTCTCCAAAATATATCTAAGATGGCCTATCAAACTCTTCTCCAAGAATATATGCTGATACCTCCTGTGACCAGAGCATACACTACAGCCTGTGTTGTCACTACTTTAGCTGTTGTAAGTACCTACAAGTACATAATTTGCTGATCACAAAAAAGTCAAATCCACTAAGCTCAGCTATAAAGCCTAAGATGTTACTAAAGAAGTTGTATACAGCTAACTAATTTTATTCTAATAAAACTTAGTCTTTGTTTGCATTAAGAGAAATACACCTTTAAAAGAAAACATTGACAGTGATTCTATACTACAGACTAATGGTTTTGTTTGTTTCAGCAACTGGATCTTGTTTCTCCATTTCAGCTATATTTCAATCCAATCTTGATACTAAAAAGATACCAACTATGGAGACTAATAACAACATTCCTGTTCTTTGGGAATTTAGGATTCAATTTCTTTTTCAACATGATATTTACATATAGATACTGTCGAATGCTAGAAGAAGGGTCTTTTAGAGGAAGAACAGCTGATTTTGTTGTGATGTTCATGTTTGGAGGTGTTCTCATGATTGTATCCTTTATAAAACTATATCTAATAATGTATTACAAGTGTTGATTTTCAGTTTCATCAGCTACAGGATAATCACAAAGTTACCAATTCTGCCCCCTCTTATTTTTTTTAATTCCATAATGGAATCTAGAAGTTTTTCAAGCTCAAATGACAATAAAAAATTTCTAAAGTTTCATAAAATATGTATTTCTTTACATTATGCAGATGAATTTCTTTAAGATTTGGGATTGGTGTGACTTGAATTGAATATTTAAAACAAATTTTATACATAAACAATAATTTCCTCAGCAAAATAAACAGCTATGTGCATTCTTCGTTAATTTATTATTTTTAGGTCAAGCATTCACTATCATGATTGTGTATGTTTGGTCTCGACGTAATGTGTTTGTGCGAATGAACTTTTTTGGGCTAATGAACTTTCAGGTAATAATAAAGTTTAACAGATAAATTATAAAATTTACGCTTAAATATAATTTTTTTTTATTGTTTTCATTTTTTACAGGCTCCTTATTTGCCTTGGGTATTACTTGGCTTTTCTGTCCTGCTTGGTAATTCAATATCAGTAGACCTAGTTGGGATGGCCATTGGTCATGTATATTTCTTCATGGAAGATATCCTACCACGCCAACGTGGAGGGTACAGGATATTAAAGACACCAATGTTTCTGTAAGTGGTTTCTTGCAATTATCCATTTTGGAATAAAGTAGGTACAACATATTTTACATATATTTTTCTTTCAGGAAAAAACTGTTTAACCCTCGAGAAGAGTACGAACCTTTGCCTGAATTGGCCCATATCAGGCCTGGTGGATTTGACTGGCGCCGACGTGAGGATGATGATGAAGACAACAGGTAAACAACACCTCCATGATGAAGCAAATGCCAAACATAGGGTAAATGGTTAATAATAATTTTATCTTTAGGATGAGATGTATCAGTGGTAATGTATAAATAGTTATTGAGATGTTCTATTTTGTATGAGTTTTAAATTAGGACTGCACAAAATGCAATAAATATTTTTTCTGCTTTTCGCCAATAAACCTAACCTCTGGGAAGTGTAATTGTTAGCACTGTAACTGTAAGTCAAACAAACATGTAGGTACAAATAAATTAAAATATCCATACCTTTTATTCATCCATACTAGTTTAACTTTTAATGAATGTATTTAATAGATATCAGTTTTTGTGAATACATACATTATCATATTAAATAAAGATTTTGATTTTTTGGGTGTATTTTGTGTGACTTCTTTGGGTACTTAACGCGTCAATAGCCCAACAGTCAGTCTGGCCGACTCAAGATCCGAGGAACACTGCACTTGTTCGAAACTCCCGCGCCGTTGGACTATTGTAAGACAAAACAATGGCAAACAATTTTGCTTAGTTTAGGTATTAATAATTTTACCTTCGCACACTAACCTTAATTTAAGTAAGTGAAATCAAATGTATCTAGGCTAAGTTTTATTAAGTAATAAATTTATTCTTATTCTTATTGTGGTGAACTCGTAACACGAAGTATAATTTAGCTTACCAGTCGTCGTAATTAATACGTAAATACTTACATAACTTGTACTTGCAAATTGCAAAGAATGATTGTTATACATACATACTCGTACTAAATATTAGTAAAATATCGCTTTGCTCGGTGGTTACCGTACCGGAATACGAAGCTACTCAGATAGCGGGTTCAAGTCCCGCTCGGGCCATTATGTTAGTGTGCTGAGCACGAGAATTACCACGAGGGTTTAACGGAACTATTAGTAATTAGGTACGCATTACAAATTATTTTATGAAAAAAAAGAGTGCATAACTTCGTTATTAATATACTGGTTTATCGGTTTAGCTAGACATACATTCCCGTAATGCTTGCAAATTACCCCCTGAGTGCCCAAAATATAATTCACTCTAAATATATTGTTTGGACCATTTCTTTCCATACCATGCTCTTAAATGTAAAGGTAGGTACTTTTTCCTACAGTAAAACTACAAACAGATTATGATCAGCATTGTTTATTGATAATCTTTTCACACAAGGCTTTTTGACAAAAATTCTTCAGTCATTCTGTATAGCGAATAAATAACCTAGTATTTAAACGCAATAACACCATACGAATAATAAACGAAATAAAAATAATTTAGTGTACCAAAGTTTATCATCTTAAAGAAAATTAAATAGGTTATAAGAAATTTTAACGAAAATAAAAAATATTGCAAATTATTTCAAGTACCTAATTAAAAATGGGTATGTTTTTACCAGAACGGCTTTGAAGACAAAGTCAAAACAATACCTAAACTGGATGCATGAAGCTAGAGGCTCACAAGGTCGTATTTACATTATTCATTAATTAATGTCACATCACATTAAATACATTTTTTTTAGTTACTCATCTCAAGTGCTTAGATAAATAACAACATACAAAGACATAAGTAGTTGCTCAAAACTTAATTTAGAATGAAGATAATCAAAGAAAATACAAGTGTTACATTCATAAAACCGTTCTTCCAATATCTTAATTAAACTACAGTAACAACAAGGACAGTAAACCTAGATACGTCAGTCTTCATTCAAACATTCCCAAGGTCGTGTGACTCGTTACATCATCATCACTAAACGGTTACTTCAATTTTCATAATCGCCTGCATCTCAACATAAAGAAACTATAAAAATATAAAAAAGTTAAAACAAAACGGCCATATTCCTGGATTATTTTTAAGCACAAAAGAAGTATTTTATAAACAGAGTTGAACTTCATATTTTGATAAATGATAATAATTATTACTTCTCAAAATGAAGACAAAAGTTATATTATAATGCTATACAAAGCAAAGTATTGATTTCTTATTGCTCTTTGTTGACTCAAGGAAGTTACAGTAGAGATAACTTTCAAAGATAGTAGCACAAAACTGACAGACGATCAAAACAATTCAATATCACCACAAGGGACTAGTGTACTAGTCTGTCGTTAAAACGTAATAAAATCACATATTTTACACTCATTATCAGATCCTATACACACACCGCGCATAACAAAACGTATTTTATACTAAAAAAAATACAACTCAAAAGTAAAGTTGTTTACTACTTGATGTGATCTGAAGCACAACATCGAATATTATGATCCAGTTAGCAAGTTTTTGGTGTCGTTGTTATCTCTAATTCTACTAATTTTACATTTCAAATGGTTTTGAATTAAACAAGTGCCTATAAATCTATCTAAATCACATGGAGACATTTTCATAGTGCTACTATAGCTAGTAGAACCGTTATGTCGTCTGGTTTCCCACCTGTAAATACAAAAAGACAATGGTTATTAATTGACAAACTATTGTTCAGAAGTTTATCTTTCTACACTATAATAATATTTTAATTTGTATTGTGTATTTGAGAGAAACGACAAATGCTAGTCAATAGTCTAAAAATACGACGACGACGTTTCTACGCCGTTCCCGTGTAGCTTATCGCGAAACTACAGTTGCACGAGAAATAAGAGTGTTTGAAACAAACACGTAAACAAGGGTGCATGCGGGAAATAATGTAAACAATAAATAGACGATAAAATGTCTCACCAATAGCATCTATTCCGTTCTGCCGTGCGCTTTTAGCGAACGGTGACATGTAGCATCCGTCGAATGAGAGGTTTCGCGCCATCCAAGCTATGGAGTTGGCGACCGCCTGCAGTCGCTGCGAGTCGCCGGCGAGCCCCTGCGCCCTTCGCATCTCGGCTACCAGCACTGGTTCTGGCACGTTGTCGAACACGCCGTCAGTGGCGACGAGGATCACGTCGCCACACTCCACCGTGAATTCCGACGTCTCTGCCGATTCTGGCCTGATAAGTAAAAGAGGTTCCGAGTTATACTGAGCAGTTTCTTACGGTAATTGATGGGAAGGCAGTTTCGTATTACATTCTTGAAAAATAAACAAAAACCATAAGTAATTCTAGCTGGGAGGGAATCCTACTATCCTACTAATATTATAAAGGCGAAAGTTTGTGTGGATGTTTGTTACTCTTTCACGCAAAAACTACTAAACGGATTTTGTTGAAACTTTACAGTATTATTATTTGTAACCCTGATTAACATATAGGCTATAATTTATGCCAATCTGTGGCACTAAATTTCACGCGGGTGAAGCCGCGGGCATAAGCTAGTTTTAAATAAATATCTAAGTTCTACATATTATTATTTATTTACAATGCTACCCTTTATGCTAATGTCGCTACAATGGCTTGAATTGTCGATAGCATCAGAATACGAAAGTGGAAACTGGCTCTATTTAAATGAATTTTTTGTTTGACTCCTAGCAAGAGTTTGCATGAATTTGGAATGATTCTAGATTTTCTGTTACTTAGATAAAAAAGTGAATTACTTTATCTCCTTCCCTCCACCCAAAACAATGTCAAAAAAAGCAATTTAGATTATGGTACAGAATTTCGGTGCAGTCCTGTTGTCCCCCCTGCTTGGCCCCCCTAGGGGAGCCAACAGGATTTCGAAATCCTGTTGTCCCCCCTGGCTAGGGGAGACAACAGGACTAGATTTTTAATCAATGATTTGAGGACTGTTGTCCCCCCTGGCAAAAATTATTTCAGAGCTATAAATTTTTATAGCATAATTTATGAAAAACTGAAGTATTTGACTGAATGCCAAATTGCCAAACTGAATACCTAAACGTATGTCAAGTAGGTAATAATTACAATTTTGATAGGTATTGGTGCCGGCCGGTATTAACTAAACCTGCCAAATTTCAAGTTTGTAGGTCTACAAACTTGAAATTTGGCAGGTAGGTTTCTTATAGGGTGTAAACATCCACTAAGAACGGAATTTATTTATTATATATTGCGAGCGGCCGCTAGTTTAAATCACTGTCACTGAGCAAGTAATTTGTTGAATATTATGATTAATTTAAAATTATTCAGTTTTAGCATCCTACCTACTAATGTTGTAAGTAAATGCGGAAGTTTGTGAGTATGGATGTTTGATAATAATAACTAAACGGATTTTTACTTACACTTGATAAACTTGACAGTAGATAATATTTTTTATACATGAGAATAGCTTAATAGAGGTATTTAGCTTTTGCCTACGGCTTTGCCCGCGTAAAATTTTGTCTGTCACAGAAAAAATATAGAGCGCAACACTGTTTCGAAAACCGGGATAAAAACTGTCCAACGACTTTTCCCTGGACTCAAAACTATCTAAATATCAAAATCGGTTCAATGGTTTAGGCGTGAATTCGTAACAAACAGACAGATAAAGTTACTTTCGCATTTATAATATTATTTAGGGCTGATTTTTCAATAGTCAGATATCTTTTAACTGAAGAATAAGCTTGTCATTTTGACATATTTCCCATACTGAAACTGTCAATGTGTCAAACTTATTCTTCAGTTAAAAGTTATCCGACGATTGAAAAATCGGCCCTTAGTAGGGATAATTCATAACGATCTGTTAAAAGCAAGTAAAGCAGATTTTGAAATAGTCTGAAATAGTACCGGTACCAAGAACTTATATTTTTTTCGTTATCCAAATGTTAATTATTATTTAACATACGTTTAGGTATTCAATTTGGCAATTTGGCATTAATTACGAGTAAATGTTATGAAAATTTTTAAATAATTTTTGCCAGGGGGGACAACAGTCCTCAAATCATTGATTAAAAATCTAGTCCTGTTGTCTCCCCTAGCCAGGGGGGACAACAGGATTTCGAAATCCTGTTGGCTCCCCTAGGGGGGCCAAGCAGGGGGGACAACAGGACTGCACCAGAATTTCAAGGTATTTTAGAAAGTATTGCAAGGTCGAATGAACATTAATCAGGGAAAGTATGAATGACGCTGTGCTTAAAAATAAAAAAGTAGTTACACAGAATCGAACTCATTAATTTCATGGTAACATTCACTTGACCGCAACCCGTAACTGGGTACCTACTTGGCCAAAGTCGAGACATCTCTGATATTGAATGAACCATATTATGAGGCATTAATAAATATTATGATACTGCGTGTGCATGCAATTTCATTAGCGAGGTCATAACGATTCTAATACATGATGCGTAATCATAATCAACCTCTCTCAGGACACTCCAGAGGACATAGAGGATAATACTGCTTCAATTTAATCCAGCTTAGTCTGGTGCTTACAGACTCACTAATAAAAGGAGACAATGGTAGTTTTATGACATAATAAATAATATAACTCTGATTGTCTTTGTGACCAGTTATAGAATAGGCTTGG